AGCCACTGTAAAACAGTGCCTCCTAATCCCATCTCAGCAAGACAACCCAGAAGTATGTCATCTCCTTGATAGGTTTTTCACCATTCTTGTGTTCTGTTCTCCACTTTGAATTGCAGATGTTGAATATCAGATGTTTTATTATCTGATAATTTCAGCATACTTTTATTGTTCTTTCATCTAATACTTGCCAACTTGTTTCTTCCAAGAAAGGACAAATTATAGATAACTTAAATAAGTATCTGTTTCCTTCAGTGGATGGGCAGAAAACATCAATATCCTTCAATGGAATGGGAGGATTTTGCACGACAAGCAGTCCCCAAGTTACAGACAAGATAGGTTCTGTAGCTTTGTTCTTCAGTTGAATTTGTATGCAAGTCAAGTGCAACTCCAGCTAATTTGTTAAAGCCTTGGATAACATAGGTTAACACCCCTGTGGTGTTTGTTTTGCTGTCTGTGACCATGTTCAAAGATTTAACATCACTTTCTGTCCTTTTGAGAACACTAACACGATTTTTGTTCCTGGGCAATTAATGTCATTTTCAATTGGTTCTATCATTAAACTACAAAAAACTCTGTTTTTGCGACACAACCTGCAGCACATTTTGCTACAGTTTTTCAATGAATAGCTCAGAGTTTCAACTATTCAACATAATTTGTGGCAGCCAACAAAACAAAGTTTCTGAAGGGTAAAGACTACTTTCAAAAGAACTGCACAATTAAATAGAAAATACTACTTCAGGGACATTTTTTTCAAATTTTGTTACATATTGTAATTGGATTTTTAAAAATCTGGCTTGTTGTAGAAAAAAGGATTGGTAATAAAACTTCAATGGAGACACTTATCTCCTACTGTAACTCTTCTAGGAATTAATTTCCCTTCCTATGGGTAGATTTCTCTCACTTCGAATTGTCCCACCACTGTTCTTAACTATGAGTTGTTTGTAAATCATATGTTTGTAATTTGGGAACTGCCTATACTTTCAATTTCAGAATTCCAGGCAAAGGATGCTCAATCTATATTAAGATTGTCCAAGATATAATTTCTAGTGGTTTTTAAAATTAATACCACTAGACAAAACACACAACTCAAAAATCTATTTGGACCTCTTCAGAAGTCTGTTTCTTTATCAATCAATACAGCAGTTTCAGTTATTACAACCAATGACAACCTCTTTGGTGCATGTAGGTGCAAGAGGGTTTTTTTTTTTTCACTTATGTACATTTGCACTTGATTCTTCTTTTCCTTCAATTCTTCTGTTTTGCTTCCTCTCCATTTTCCCCCCTCCATCTTGGTACAACTGTGTCTTTTAATAAAAGGACTACTGGAAATTTGCATTCTATCAAAATACATATCAAGCAACAAGATTAACACAATTACTCAATTACTAACAGATTTACAGAAAAACAGCCTTGTTCTCCTACAACATGTTGGCTACAACTTTACAGCATTGTCTATGTGGGAGATACACACAGCCTATCTGTACAGAACATGTATCTGTAATTCCTTTAATTATAAATGTATAAATGTTCCTTCCTTTTAAACATTATTTAGGAAAATTAGAATGATGCTACAAAAGTACAGCATCTCAGGTTATTCTAGTAACACACGAAACAGCTTTAACTGACATAGTTGTTTATTCCATTTCCTGCTTCTACACATCCGACAATGACTACTATCTGATAACTCATGTGGTGGCTCACTGATGAAGCATGAAAGTGACCACAACTGGATTCACTTATTAAGCCAGCTTCTGCAAAGTCTCTGCCATCACGTCATACCAATTACTGATTGTGGGAACTAGCATGTTTTATAAACTACAAACGCAACATGAGTTCTAGAAGCACACAATCAAATTATTCTCCCTGAGAAGTGGGGAATCTTTGGCAATCCTGATGTTTCGGACTTTAAAGTTGAAGCTCCTACTATCATATACACTGGGTATATGGCTGTGTGGAAGGGCCCTACATTTCAGTCAAAAAGGTCTGGAAGGCAAAAGGCCCTTAACTCTATCATCATCATAATCCTTATTATACAGCTTGCACCACTCTGTAAAAGCTGTATCTGACCATCCACACGAAGGCAAAAGTATGATTGCTGGGCCCCTACGCTAGTTGTGCAACACGGGTCTGAATTAATGAGGGGAAGACATAGGCGGGACATAGCAGCAAGTCAGAGACACAGCTGCGGCTGGATAGCAGTGAAGTAATTTAAATCAGGTGCAACAGGATAAGACTGAAGTAATGTAACAGTTATTTAACATGAAAAGACTGAAGTAATGTCACAGTTATTTAATGTGAAATGATAAACCATGGCTTACGAAGGTGTTTGCATAGGATATCCGGATAGCCTACATCAGAATGTTTCCTCTCCCCCTTTCTGGCGAACTATGGTGCCATGACTCTGCCACAGATACATCTTCCCCTCTTTAATTCAGAGTTGTGTTGCGCAAGCATAGGGTCACAGCTATCATACGTTTTCCCACACTAGCTTTGTATTACTGCCTTCTGAAAGGGAGAAATCACAAGTTCACATTAGAGACTAGGTCACAAAACTACATCTTAAACTAAACCATGCTACTGTGTCTTCCACAGGATATCTCTGTGTCTCCACCAGCAGATAAGGAAATAAGGAATGGATGTCAGTACGACTGTGGTGGAGGCTACTTCTCTGGAGGCTTTTAAACACCCTTCTTTATATGGCATTCTGTAAGGGTTTGAACGTGATTTTCCTGCTCCTTGGCAGGGGGTTGGACTGGGTGGCCCATGAGGTCTCTTCCAACTCTATGATTCTATGAGTATGCAAAACCAGAATATGCAAAACCACAGATAATAGTGAACTGTATTTAAATGAAGACTATCCAGCCCAAGAATGCCATAGAGTCGCACCAGAGGTCCTAGAAAATGCCTAAAGGGGGAATCTTTTGTCTGAAGTGGTTAAAATATGAAGTCATAGAGACCAGTCCTACAGATGCAGGTGTCATACTGTGCTTTAATCCCTACTCAGCCATGGATAGGCACTAGATGATTTCGGGCAATCAACAATGATTGATTGATAAGCATTTTAACTGCTTATATGTTTAGATTGTTTCATATTTTGATTAGATGTGTTCTATTGTTTATCTGTGCGACATTAAATTTTTGCCAGATTTGTAAGCCGCCTTGAGGCCCCTCCGGGGTCGAGAAAGGCGGGTAGAAATGAAGCAAGTAAGATCGATCCCTTCGATCTTCCAGAGAGGCCCTTTTCACGCTCCCGCCTACGTCACAAGTGCGACTTGTGGGAACGAGGGAGAGGGCCTTCTCTGTAGTGGCCCCTTGGCTCTGGAATTCGCTCCCCAGAAAAATTAGGCAAGGCCTCCACCCTGGCAGTCTTTAGGAAGAACTTGAAAACTTGGCTGTTCCACTGCGCCTTCAAGGAATGATGAGCTGAACTATAACCCCTGCCCTGACCAAACCCTGAAAAAATGCCCTCGGAAACACTTAATTTTTTTAACTACTAGTGCAATTAAATCCTACTTTTGTCCCTCTGATCCCCTGTCCAGATACATTACATTGCCTTCTCACTCAGGGTTTTAAACTTTTTAATCTTTGCTACTGGCCCTGCCCACTGTGATTTATTTTCTGTGTTTAAATTATTGCAATTTTACATTGTTCGATTGCCTTTTAGATTGTCTTTTGTCTTTTATTTTTTATTTTTACTTTATATTTTATTGTCATTGTATGTTGTTCATTTGCATTGCTGTATTGTAAGGCTTGGCCTCATGGAAGCCGCCCTGAGTCCCCTTCGAGAGATAGTGGCGGGGTATAAATAAAGTTTTAAATAAAGTTTTATATGCCTACCTGCGTGACCGCATTTCTGTATACGAACCCACACGATCTCTTCGATCATCTGGAGAGGCCCTGCTCACGCTCCCACCTCCTTCGCAGGCGCAATTGGTGGGGACGAGGGAGAGGGCCTTCTCGGAGGTAGCCCCTCGACTCTGGAATTCACTCCCTAAGGACATCAGACATACCCCAACTCTGGCAGTCTTTAGAGGGAGCCTGAAAACATGGTTGTTCCAGTGTGCCTCCCAGAATAAGGAAAACTCTCAGCAATATGCCCTCAAAATGCACTTTACCACTGATTTAGGACTGACTGCGTTCCCTCAATTCTCTCTGAAAATCCTATCCCAGTTATATCCTACCTTGTTCACGTCAGCATTATTTTTTTATTTTAATCTATTACATTTGGCCCAGCCATTGGTTTTAAATGCTTGTATGTCACTGTTGATTGTTTATTGCCTATTTTTTGTTTATGTGATTTATATGAATTGTATTGTTTTATTCATGTTTTGTTCATTGATGTGTTGTGGACTTGGCCTCATGTAAGCCACACCGAGTCCCTTGGGGAGATGGTAGCGGGGTACAAATAAAGTTTTATTATTATTATTATTATTATTATTATTATTATTAAATAAGGGTTTAATGACACCATAAAGCTCCTTCTCACTGTAACAGAAAAGGAAAGTTGGAGAGTAAAGGGACATAAATCTAACTAAGAGCTGAAGATGTCTGGTTGCCACTTGAATGAAGCAGTACTTGAGGAGAAGCAATTCCAGGCACGGGCAAACTTGGGCCCTCCAGGTGTTTTGGACTACAACTCCCACAATTCCTAGCGGCCTCAGGCCCCTTCCTTTTCCCGGGCAAACTTGGGCCCTCCAGGTGTTTTGGACTACAACTCCCACAATTCCTAGCGGCCTCAGGCCCCTTCCTTTTCCCGGGCAAACTTGGGCCCTCCAGGTGTATTGGACTACAACTCCCACAATTCCTAGTGGCCTCAGGCCCCTTCCTTTTCCCGGGCAAACTTGGGCCCTCCAGGTGTTTTGGACTACAACTCCCACAATTCCTAGCGGCCTCAGGCTGCTAGGAATTGTGGGAGTTGTAGTCCAAAACACCTGGAGGGCCCAAGTTTGCTCATGCCTGATCCATATTGAAGGATTAAGGCGGTTTGACCCCAGCAGTACCTTTTCGTGCGGCTCCCGCCCGGCTTCGTCCGCCTCCTTCCTTCCCACAGCGCTCCTTCTGTCCGAGGCGTCCAAAGAGACCCGCGAAGGCTGCTCCAACCTCCTCGGGGCCGGCAGCGCCGAGGGCCCCGCTTTCTCCCCTCGAGAGCGGCCCTTCTTCATGATGAGAATGGCGGCGGGGAAGTGGGCAAAGTGGGCCGTCCCCTCAGCGCGGGGGTTCGCCGCCGGCCATCGTCGAGAAGGGACGCCTCAGGAGACGCCGAAGCCGCGCGGCGACTCCTGTCAGGCGCGAGCACGCCGGGCACTGCGGTAATTCCCGCCCCCCCTCCTCCTCCTCCTCCTCCTCCTCCCGCCCCCCGCGGCCACGTATCGCGAGAGGAGGAGCTGCCGAGGCGCGAGGGAGCTCGCTCTGACCAGGCGGGACCAAGCCGGAGTGGGCGGGGTGAAGAATGTTATGGCGCGCAAAGCATTATGGGGCCGGGGACCCCCTTCTGGGCTGGGAATTGGAAAGTGGGCAGAACTCGAGAGGGAAGCGAGAAGACGGGGCCAAGAGTTAGTGGGCGGGGCAAAGAGGCACATTGGAAGACGAGGGAGGCCTTTGCCTTGGGGGGGGAGGGGGAAATGTTATGGCACGCAAAGCATCACGGGGCCGCGGGAGCGTTCTATGCTATCGATTGGTCAAAAGGGATTCTTTGAGAGAAGAAAAATCGAAGGCGGGGCCAATTTGCGAATGGGCGGGGCCAAGCTTGAGTGGGCGGGGTAAGAGGAAGTCTGGGGATATTTATTTGTCGTGTCGGGGCAACCAGTCAGTTATATTACATTTCTAACAGAACAAAGCAAACAAACAGACAAAATACAAAATTTTGTGAGTTTGGTAGTTGATTAAATGTCCTTTGACCAGTAGCTGGCCACTTGGAGTGCTTCTGGTGTTGCTGCAAGAAGGTCCTCCATTGTGCATGTGGCAGGGCTCAGGTTGCATTGCAGCAGGTGGTCAGTGGTTTGCTCTTCTCCACACTCGCATGTCGAGGATTCTACTTTGTAGCCCCATTTCTGAAGGTTGGCTCTGCATCTCGTGGTGCCAGAGCGCAGTCTGTTCAGTGCCTTCAAGTCGCCCAGTCTTCTGTGTGCCCAGGAGGGAGTCTCTCATCTGGTATCACCCATGGATTGAGGTGCTGGGTTTGGGCCTGCCACTTTTGGACTCTCGCTGCTGGGGTGTTCCAGCGAGTGTCTCTGTAGATCTAAGAAAACTATGTCTTGATTTAAGTCGTTGACGTGCTGGCTGATACCCAAACAGGGGATGAGCTGGAGATGTCTCTGCCTTGGTCCTTTCACTATTGGCTGCTACTTCCCGGCGGATGTCAGGTGGTGCAATACCGGCTAAGCAGTGTAATTTCTCCAGTGGTGTAGGGCGCAGACACCCTGTGATAATGCGGCATGTCTCATTAAGAGCCACATCCACTGTTTTAGTGTGGTGAGATGTGTTCCACACTGGGCATGCATACTCAGCAGCAGAGTAGCACAGCGCAAGGGCAGATGAATACGGAGGAGGAACAAGTGAAGGAATGTCAAATTAAATGGGCCCAAGATTTAGGACACAATATCTCGACAAATCAATGGGAAGAAATTTGGATAAGGAAAATGAGATACACTGTTGCCAGCGATATAAAAGAAAACTGGTTTAAAATGTTTTATCGCTGGCATTACACACCAGACAAAATTGCAAAATTTGGGGGGAAAATAAACCAGAAGATATCAAACAAATGCTGGAGATGCGGGAAAAAAGTAGGTACCTTTTTCCACCAATGGTGGGAATGTGAGAAAATCAAAACATTTTGGAAAAAAATTCATCAGGCCTCTCAAAAAATTCTAAAAATTAAATTTCCAAAAGAACCAGAAACTTACTTACTAGGTATAACAAATGAAACTAATATGAACAAAACCCAGGATAAAATTCTATTTTTATTAAGTACGGCTGCCAGAACAGTGGTGGCGAGAAAATGGAAACAAAAAGAAGCACCAACTCAAGAAGAGTGGATTCTAAAGGCTTTTGATATAATACAAATGGACAATCTGACCCAGAGGATAAATGGAGTGACCAATAAAACAAACTGGACGGGCTTTAAGGATTACTTAAGAACAAAAGAAATATCAGTCATAATAGACCTAACGAACTTTTAGATGAAAGGGGGAAAAAAAAAATATATACATAAAAATATACTGTCAGCAGAGGATATGAAGAAAGGAAAGATCTACTACTGAAGACGAAGACTCTTGGAAGACTCTGGGAAGTCACAACCACGGAAAGAACTGTTTTGGTGATGGGACCCTTAACCCCACTCTTTCCCTAACCCATTTCTCCTCACTTCTCCTTTACACTCCTTACCCATCCCGATTACCTCATTCCCAATGCCCCAATCCTTTATCCCCCATCCTCCCATTCCCTGGCCTGCACAATGTTGTTAAAAAAGTAAAAATAATAAAAAAAAAAAAAAAAGGGCAGATGTCTTCACTGTGTCTGGTTGTGATCCCCAGGTTTATTTATTTACTTTATTTGTATACCGCTCTTCTCAGCCCTTAGGCAAGAAGAGCAGTTTGTAACAATTTAGGTATACACATTACAAAATCATTAAGCATTTAAAAGCAATAGCATCACAAATCATTAAACATCAATATCAATACATAATGGTGCTCACTTTGTGCCAGTCAGCTTTCATATGATATTGTTTCTAGCACCCACCTTTTGCTTGATGTTCAGGCAATGCTTCTTGTAGGTAAGTCTCTGAGGATGTAACACGAGCATCTGCTTGTCCGATTTCGTTGGATTCATTTCAATTGGTTCAAACTGAGGATGTGGACAAGGTGCTTGGAGGAATGAGAGCTACCACATGCATCCTAGACCCCTGCCCATCCTGGCTTCTAAAGAGGCCAGAGGGGGATTGGCCGAGTGGGTGAAGGTGGTGGTTAATGCCTCCCTTCGGGAAGGCAAAATTCCAGCCAGCTTAAAGCAAGCTGTGATAAAATCGCTGTTGAAGAAACCATCACTGGACCCCACTCAATTCGTCAACTATCGGCCTGTTTCCAATCTCCCCTTTTTGGGCAAAGTCATGGAACGTGTGGTGGCCTCACAACTCCAGGCATTCTTGGTAGACACGGATTATCTAGATCCGGCACAGTCTGGCTTTAGGCCGGGGCATGGTACCGAGACAGCCTTGGTCGCCTTAGTGGATGATCTGCGTCGGGAGCTCGACAGGGGGAGTGTGTCCCTGTTGGTGCTGCTCGACCTCTCAGCGGCCTTCGATACCGTCGACCACGGTATCCTTCTGGGACGCCTCGCGGGAATGGGTCTCGGAGGTACTGTTTGCAGTGGCTCCGGTCATTCCTCGAGGGTCGGTCTCAGAAGGTGTTACTGGGGGACTCCTGTTCTACCCCACAACCTTTGTATTGTGGGGTTCCTCAGGGTTCAATACTGTCCCCCATGTTGTTTAACATCTACATGAAGCCGCTGGGCGAGATCATCCGGAGTTTCGGGGTGCGGTGTCATCTGTACGCAGATGACGTCCAACTCTGTCACTCCTTTCCACCTGCTACTAAGGAGGCTGTCGAAGTCCTGAACCGGTGCTTGGCCGCTGTGTCGGTCTGGATGGGGGCGAACAAATTGAAATTGAATCCAGACAAGACAGAGGTGCTCCTGGTCAGTCGCAAGGCTGAACTGGGTACGGGGTTACAGCCTGTGTTAGACGGGGTCGCACTCCCCCTGAAGACACAGGTTCGCAGTTTGGGTGTGATCTTGGATTCACCGCTGAGCCTGGAGCCCCAGGTTTCGGCGGTGACCAGGGGAGCATTTGCACAACTAAAACTTGTGCACCAGCTGCGCCCGTACCTTGGGAAGTCTGACTTGGCCACGGTAGGCCACGCTCTGGTTACATCCCGCATAGATTACAGCAACGCGCTCTACGTGAGGTTGCCTTTGAAGACGGGCCGGAAGCTTCAAATGGTCCAGCGTGCAGCAGCCAGGTACTAACAGGAGCGGGGCGCAGGGAGCACACAACTCCTCTGCTGCACCAGCTCCACTGGCTGCCGATTTGCTACCGGGCTCAATTCAAAGTGCTGGCGTTGGCCTTTAAAGCCCTAAACGGTTCTGGCCCAACCTACCTATCCGAACGTATCTCGGCCTATCAGCCCACCAGGACCCTAAGATCTTCTGGGGAGGCCCTGCTCTCTATCCCGCCTGCTTCACAGGTGCGGCTTGTGGGAACGAGAGATAGGGCCTTTTCTGTGGTGGCCCCCCGGCTTTGGAATGCCCTCCCGATTGAGTTAAGATCAGCCACCTCGCTAATGGCATTTCGGAAAAAACTAAAAACTTGGATATTCGAGCAAGTCTTCAATTAATTTTGATGTGAAGTGTTTGACCATGGACTAGCAATCAAGGACAACGAATTGGATTACGATTTTAATTATGAGATGTTCCGATCTGTATTGGTGGCCCAATACTATGTATGTTACTGTATGCATTTTTAATTTTTAATCTTATATGTTTTTATTTAATTGTATATTTTAACATGTTGTAAACCGCAATGAGTCGCCGCACTGGCTGAGATATTGGCGGTATACAAGCGCACCAAATAAATAAATAAATAAATAAATAAATAAGATTACGGTCCAGAGTGACTCCCAGGTATTTGGGTGCGCTGCAATGCTCCAGTGGGATTCCTTCCCAGGTGATCTGGGGATTAGGGAAGTGTCTTCTGCGAGGAGAAAACTGGGCGGGGCCGGCTAGGGAGTGGGCGGGGCCAAATGAGAATAGTGTAGCCAGGAGACCATGCCCTAAGAGAGTGGTTCTCAACCTGTGGGTCCCCAGATATTTTGGCCTTCAACTCCCAGAAAACCTAACAGTTGGTAAACTTCCTGGGATTTCTGGGAGTTATAGGCCAAACACCTAGGGACCCACAGGTTGAGAACTACTGCCCTAAGAGGAGCATCTCAAAGAGCTGGGCATGGTTACCCTGCAGAAGAGAGGGTTGAGTGTAGCCATAGGGGTCATGTATAAATATGAGAAAGAATGCTATAAGGAATTGTGGGAGTTGTAGTCCAAAACACCTGGAGGGCCCAAGTTTGCTCATGCCTGATCTATATTAAAGGATTATGGCAGTTTGACCCAATAAATAAATCTATACACACAATAAAAGTGAAAATATGTATGTGTGGCTGGAGTGTCCACTTACACAGACAAGCTCCCACCTCCACAAAGAGCTCTAGCTCCCACTACTCAGGCGACACCAAAGGCCCTCCCTCCAATGGCATTAAAGGTTAA